ATCAAGTGCGAGTGTAAACATAGCCCTAGAGATATGCATGTGTGGATAGGAAGTGGGTTAGAAATAAAAGATATACCGTGAATGACACTGCAACAAAGAAAAGCCCTATGCAAGTGGCAATTTGAACCTTAGATGACACCTGTAGGCTACAGACAATCTGGGAAACTCAGTAGATTTTTAAAGGAGTGCACCCTTGGCTACAGGAAAAGGATTTAATTTTGCAACCGTACAAATGTACAAAAGTCAAGTGCTAAATATATTAACTTAGTTAATAACTACCATAAAAACTAGAAATAATAAAAGAAAAACATGCAGCTATCTGAAATCTGCAGGAAGAAACTACAGAGGTTGCAACTAACTGCTTTAGTTACTGAAAAGAACTAAGGTACAGGGTGGAAACACAGTTCCTTATGGTCTGAATGATCATTACCTAGGGAATATGTGAGGCAACCTAAAGGTAAAAGCATTTTAGTAGGTTCTGATAAAGATTCGGGATGTACTCGACACCCTCGATCATGGATTTGTACAGGTAACGGTACTCACACTATTCTTTAATTTTAACAGAAGATAAATAGTGAAAAAAGACTGAAACACCATTTCCTCTAACTAAAATAGGTTTTCACCTTTATTAAGATTTTGTTGCTGCTGTTTTATTTTCTAAACAGAGCTTTTAGCAAGTTACTTTTCAAACCACAATCTATTATTGCAGTAAAATACGAAAGTCAATTGAAGCTTTATTTACACCAAATATACTTAGATATCTACTAACATTTTGAGCAACACCAATTAAGTAACAACTGTGTTTTATCTTTTATAAGAAATTCATACTTACAATGGTTCTTCCCTTTCAGTTCTCTTACTATCATGAAGATCTTCCTGTTCCTTCATTTTATCTACAGCTTGTGCTTGCTTTTCAATCTCATTAAAATTCTTGCTGCTCACTTTCTGGGCTCCCAAGCCACCTTTTTTGGCACCAAGCTTTAATTTAAAAAGAAAACAGAAAGGCTTTATAACCTATAGATACCTAGATTAACTAGTCCTATGGTTTAGTATGTTTTTGAAAGAAGAATCAAGTACTGTCCCTGATTCCATAGATTCTGGTATCAGTAATAAAAAGTCAGAGTGAAGAAGATCACATAGCAATATGTTCCTAAAAGCTGCTCACCTGAGAAAACCTTTGATTTTCAGGAACATAGTTAGGCCTCCCACACGGCAATTACAGCCTAGTGAAACTCCTGCAGTTTGTCAGACCTTGTTACTATTCCGATAAATTCTGTACTGAATACCATAAAATATGAAGGTGCCTCAGCCACTATTGAAATAAGAGGGACTAGTTTTGTATAGCTGTCGAAATTATGGTTAGCGAGGAGAGCCGCATAATTAGACATTCTTAAGGTTGAGGTGGCAGAGGAATATACTTTTCTGCCTAAAATATCCAGCCGCTTAGCTTCCTTGTCATTGGCGGTGGTTTTGCCCTGCGTTGTTTTTGACCTCTGTTGTGAAGCATCCATGACGAGGGAATTGGGCTGGGGGTGAGTCATCAAAAACTCCATACCCTTAGGAGACACAAAGTACAGTAAAACTCCAGTGGTTCGGCATCCAACGGTCCGGCACCATCTGGAATCTGGAAGTGCTCCAGGCAGCCGGATAATTGGAGCTGCTCTGCCCCCAACTCCCCCAAGCCAGCCGCTGCCAGCCGCTGGTCAGTTTCAGCAGCGGCTGACTTGGGGACGCCTGGGGCAGAGCAGCTGGGGTGCTGCAAGGTTAGTCCCGCAGTGCCGAGGGGCGCATCCCCCCCACTCCACCTCAGACCCCTCATGGCCCCCCCTTCCTATAGTCCAGCATATGTGATAATCCGGCATCCCCTGGGTCCTAATGGTGCCGGATTGTCGGAAGTTTACCGTACTTTTTATCTGATCATTTGTTAGTTGGAGACTGCCAGACGTCAATAGTGATCTCCAGTATGGCCTCGAAGGGAAGTGCTAGCTTCAACTTTTGGGACCACTGCAGGTTCTTTAGCAAGTGATGTTGTTTTTGCTACACGTCTGTGGTTTGAACCTCCTGAGATTGAGCAACTCTTTTGAAGAATTCCTGGAATTGCTTATGGTCATCCGTCAGGGAAGATTCCTCTTGGAAAACTGCATCGTCTGGTGATGATGATGATTGATCGGTTGGGGAATCTAAATGTTGCTCTTGTTATGAAGGGTGGTTATCATTCTGCTCTTCATGGCTAAAGGATGAGATCGTGTCTCCTGTGGGAGTTGACGAATCCATACGAGGAGGCGAAGTGTCCTGAGCAGGATGGTGCAGAAACACTGGAGAGCTATAAAGCGGTGATCGTGATTGCGGGTATCCTCTACTGTGCGAGCACAGGCACTCGCGATAATAGTGGTCGTAGTGTTGCCTGTGATGGTATGCATCAGGTGAATATCTTGAAGGAAACCCATTGGCACTCCTATAGAGGCAGGAGTACACTGAGGGTATTGGGGATCTCGGTGACATTGACCTCCTGGCGTAGTGAGACGGGGATCAGGAATAGTGGGCTCGGTAATATCGTTGCAGAGAGGGGAGTGATGAGGTGACCTGTTGTAGCACTCTCTGGTGGAGACATAGTGCGACGCATGGTGGTGACTGTCAGGATAAGAAGAAATTGGTGAGGGAGGCTCCGGAGAAAAAGTGGCCAGGTCTGGGCTAAGGGACAGTGTTTAAATGTGACCAGACGTCCGTTGTGCCTTTGTAGGCACTGGGAAGATGTGTGCAGAAGATGGGGCCGTTTCCAGACGGCTGGCTGGTGCAGAGACATCATGGGTGGAATGTCTGATATCACCAGCGTGCGTCGGTGCCGCTGGTGTTGTCAGAGGCATTGGCACCGCTGGTAACAGTGCCAGCACTGAGGGCTGCATGGAGTCTATCGCAGTCGACACCGCCGGTGCTGTAGCCCTGGGCGCTGCTGATGCCGGCATCATTGATGTCGGTGCCAGTGCTGTCAGCACCAGTGTTACAGGTGCTGGAAGTCTCGTCTCAGCACAGATGCCAGAGGGGCCGGTGCCGAGGTGGTCGGTATGGGCTTCGTGCGAGCCGTTAGGGCTGTTGCCAGTGCCAACTCTGATTGCAGTTCCTTGTGCAGTGCCGGATCTTTTGATAGGGGAGGGCTTGAAGCCAATGCACTGCGGCCCTTGCCTGTTTTATCAGTAGATTGCCTCACCTGAAGTGCCCAGCCTGTCACCCACACTCACTTGCCCGGTGGGTTTGGAGGTCCTGTGGTCCAGAGTATCGGGGACCGGGCAAGTTTTATGTGCCACTGCGGTCTTGTCAGGCAGCGCGTTCGAGTTTGGCGGTTGCAATGCTTTATTAAATAAAAGCATTTGTAGCCTCATTTCTCTATCGCGGCTGGCGCGCGTGGTTAGTTTAGTTCAATGTGTGCACTTTTGAGAAATGTGCCCTTCTCGTAGGCACTTAATACAGCATGAGTGCCCATCTGACACAGGCATGGCATCCTGGCATGCCATACTGTTTTTTAAACTGGGAAACCCTGGCATAAAGATTGTTTTCTTGCCTTCTTGCTCGTCTTCTTTCTGTGTTTTGTTCCGTTTTTTTTCTTTTCCTTTTAGGGATACTCTAACAAGGACGTATAACTGGGACCAAAAAGATTTTTTTTTTCAAACTGAAGTATACTTAACGAAACAACTACTAACAAGAATTTGTGAATGAACGAACTAATTATTTCTATTTTCCTATTCTCCTCAGAGCAGAGAGGGAGCTCATCCTGACTCCGTCTGCAGCCGGGGACGGTTAGGAAGGAACTGACAGGACCGGACAGCACTCCGCAAAAGGGTGTGAACAGCGCGAGACAACATGCGTGTATGCGCGGTCCGGCTGGGCTACTGCTGATGAAGGTTGTCCGGACTACGGCACCAGGATGAGCCCAACACCTTCAGTGGAGCACCTACGGAGACACTACTCGACGAAGAATATAACACATACACAAAGTAAATTCTGCTATTGAGTATGTATACAAAATGTCTATTGAATTCAATTAATTACATACGTATATCCAGGATCAGCAAGTGCTCAGTATTATCATAAGAAGTCAAAAAAATGACTTGAAGGATAAAGTACTCATCCCACAATACTAAAAATCATTTAAACAAATACGTATGAACAAGAGTTTAGGAGACCATTTTGTTTATAATGTTGAATATTTTGCCATAGTTCCAATTTGTTTTAGTGAAACATGTTAGGCCAGATCTACACTAAAGGAGAAGGTCAAATCAAGATACACAACTCCAGCTACATTAGTTACCTTGATTTGAGTATTCCTGCCCTCTCCACAGTGGGAGGCCGATGAGAGAAAATGCTCCCATTAGCTTCCCTTACTCCTCACAAGAGCAGGAGTACCAGATGCCGACAGGGACACCCTCTGAGTTCAATTTAATGCATCTTAATTAGACCCTCAAAATCAAACTCCAGAAGATCGATCGCAGCAGCGTCGATCTTCTGCTGAGTGAAAACATAGCCTTACTGATACAAAACAGTAATTCCACAAAACACTTAGTTAAAAGTCTTGCAGTTTAAATGATATAAGCCAAAATATATATTAATTACATACTTACCCCCTTTTTAGCTTGATTTGGTTTCTTTTTCATAATAGAGATGCCCTCTGAAAAGATTAACAACCGTTACTTTGGTATATAACTTGATATTTATTCAATACTTGCAGATGTATATTTCCACAACTAAAGTCTTAACCTGTAATTTTTGCAGTTCACTCTGCTACTTTAAAATACTGTAGTTTCTAAATGAAGACATTTAGAAATTAACTGTGTTACTATGTCAAGTATCAGAGGGGTAGCCGTGTTAGTCTGAATCTGCAAAAGCGACGAGGAGTCCTGTGGCACCTTATAGACTAACTGAAGTGTAGGAGCATAAGCTTTCGTGGGCAAAGACCCACTTCGTCAGATGCATCTGACGAAGTGGGTCTTTGCCCACGAAAGCTTATGCTCCTACACTTCAGTTAGTCTATAAGGTGCCACAGGACTCCTCGTCGCTTGTGTTACTATGCTTTAATGTATCTTGTTGTACTGTCTGTTAGTGCTTTCAATTTATGGCTAAATTTTCAAACCTGGGTGCCTAAATAAGAGCAAAGGATTTGTCATATTGGATCAGTCTCTCAGTTCACTTAGTTCAGTATCTTGCCTCCAACAACGGCTATGCAGATAAAGGTTGAACTGCTCTAGTGTGGCACCCTCAGGAACCACACACGGTCAATATTACCAACATTTCCACTGCTTACTGGGATCTTCAAAGGCTCGTAGGGGTAAATTAGAGCTAAACAACAACAGCACAGAACACAGACTGGTGGCTATAAACAAACTTTATAAGACCGTGGGAAACTTGGCCACAGCCATCTGGCTAAACTAAAATCATGCCAGACCAGAGAGTGCTGGACTAGCGGTTCAACCTGTAGAACTTCTGTGGACATATATGTTTTCTGAATTCTCAACTTTTCTGAAAATTAGGTGATTTATAATCTATATTTAAACACTTAAATAAAAACAGTTTAATGTTCAAAGGGGCTGAGCGCACTCAGCCTAAAATTAATTTTATGTAAGTTAAAAAAAATTAAGTGCATAAATACTGATTTCAGAATCTAACAAGTTTAAAAATTTCAACCACTGTGAACAACACTAAATTTTGAGGTGTGGAAATGAAGTGAAATTAATTTGCATAATGTTTATCAAAACCCATAAAAATGTAGATTTTTGTCAATAAAAGAGTAAAGAAAATGTTGTACTCTTTCACAATAGCTTAAATTTTATATGATTTGGCTTATTGTTTAATATGGGAATTTTCAAATTATTCTCACTATAATAATCCATAACTTCCAGTATACTAATAGTATCTTCATAGCAACTTGAATTTACTGCAAAGACATTGGAAGTGTAATTTGCAGCTTGTGTAGATATTTGAAACTCTAGGTATGTGCTAGGACCAGATAGCCTGTCCATGAAGTCATGGCTACACTGCTAGTTTTAATACACTACTGTAGTTAGTTCTCACTATCCAACAACTCGCCCACCCATACTTCCAACTTCCATTAAACTCTCTTTGTTTTATGGGGTGCATGTAGGAAAGAAGTGTACATTGAGAGAGCTGGCAAAGAATGGGGCCCAAATGAGAAGGATACTCAATGTCCAGTCCCATGTCGGGAGAAGGGGATCCTGGTAACTTTAAACTAGTGCAGAGACATTAGGTATTCTGTGGGTGGATGGACTTTTTCATAACACTGAGTCTGACACATCTGCAGGAATAGTTCCTGTGGCTTATCCCCCTCAGCAGAAACAATACCCCCCATCTCCCAGAAAGGATGATCCAGGCTAGTATTTTCAAAGATGGGATTGTTTATAATTTGGAAATTAGTCCAGAGTATGGAAAAAGCAGATCCATCCTCTTATTCAAATATATCTGAGTGTCCTCATTAGGGATGTTAAAATGTGTGTACTTTTGTAAACATGTAACTGCTGAAATTTCCAGCAGTTACACACTTTCACACAGGGGAGGAGGGCTCCATGGGAGGCAGCAGCACAGGGTGGGGAGAGGCAACATGGGCAGTGAACATAGGAGGAATGATTTGGGCTAAAATTTAGTTGTGTAACTGATTTATTTAGCTTTTAAATTTCTAAGGACAGGGACTATGTCTTTTTATAATTGTGAAATGCCATGTAAATCTAGTATTTGTTTTTATATTATAATTGCTCTACTTGACATCAAAATGCCATTTTCACTCAGCATGAAAGGGACAGACACTTTTTCCTATGTGAATATTATCATGATTCATTTTTATAAAGAGACAGTAAAATTATCATAAAAACTGTAGTATATTTCTGGGAATATTCTCTTTCATTTCTGAAAAACTGAGTTTCTTATGTTTATCTCAAGTAATTACTCTACAACTAATTAATTTAGGTTGTAGGATTCAGCTTTGCAATGTTGCTTAAATTAACAATACAGTACTGTATGCTGAAAATGTATATTATTAGTTTGCTGCAATACATTAGAAAAGGTTTTTAAACTAAAAATTATTGCTGGAAAGAGCTAAATAATGTTCAAGACAGACAGGAAAGCCTATTAGAGAAACATGTGTTTGCTTTATGTAAACAGCAGGCACGAATCATAGTACAATGCTCTATTCCACCTGTGTGCTTAAGTGTGGAACCTGAAGCAGCCCAACAGGAGGTCTAAAACATTAAGGATCACCTTTGTTAGGTGCGATGCCTGTAGCATTTAAATTCAGCAAGTCAGCTAAAATGAGATAAAAAACAAAGAGTATTGAGTAAAAATCACTTAAGTGTCATACACTCGATTAACATCTTATATTACAAGTTAACTCGTTTCAGTTATCCCATGTGTATAAATATTAACATAATACTTGCACATTTCTTCCCAACCCAACATTTTGTTTAACAGGTGTGCTGGAGTAAAATATACTGTTCATCTATCTGTTTAGGGCCATTACCTAATGCAGCTTTTGGTGAGACACTAAGGCAATCAACACTTGGTCCATGGTCTGGTCCACCTAAAAATATAAAAAAATATTGAGAACAACAATGTATGTTTATTAGGATATTTTGAATCACTCATATACTTAAAAAAAAAAAAAAAAAAAAAAGATTCCACAATCTGAAATCCAGTTCTCCCTTCATTTCCTTATAATTTTCTGTAATTTCACAGAGGCATGATAGAGCTTGATGCAGTTAAAATTACATTTCTTCTGTACAGATTGGACTTTTCTAGTCTGGCACTTTCTGGTCTAGCAACATTCATGGTCTGGCATGATTTTAGTTAGCAGACGTCCACTTGTGGGTGTGGCCAAGTTTCCCACAGTCCCATAAAGTTTGTTTATAGGCACCAGTCCTGGCTCTCAGCATTCTGTGCTGTTATTTAGCTCTAATTTACCCCAAATGTTTTCTAAGAGCCCAGTAAGCAGTGGAAATGTTGTTAATGCTGCTAAACAATATTGACCTCCCCGACTTGATAAATTCTCTGGTTCGGCACTGGTCAGGTTCCAAGAGTGCTGGACTAGAAAGGTTCAACAGGATACCTGTAGTAACATTACAAGTGATTCACAATACTGCAGGTAGAAGGAACCTTTTAATGACAGTTAGATAATTTCTATGTGGTCGTAAGTACTCAAAATTCCAGTCTCTTTCTCAGGCTACAAAACATGAAAACTAGAAGCTCGAAGTATGTTTGGAATATACAGAATTTAAAAGTACTGAATTCCAAGGACCAAAGAGTGAAAATTTTGGCTCACGTTGATTATTTTCAAGAAGTAAACAAATATGGCAAACCCACAGCGATACAATGGGGAAAAGTATATCTGAACAGAATTGGTTTTACAAACCTCTTTAAAATGGATTCCAAATTAACATGTCCTGCTGGCCAAGAAAGACATGTCACAACAATCCCTACCCAGCTTATAGCTTTTAGTAGGGGGGGAAAACATAATAGCAGCGTCACATAAACCAGACAAAGTAAAAACGTAAACAACAAATAGTCTAGTAGCACCTTAAACACTAACAAACATGTAGATGGTATCGTGAACTTTCATGGCACAACCCACTTCTTCAGATGACAGGAGATCCAAGAATAAATAAGTGAAGGACGACGGGGAGGAGGAAAGAAGAGAAACAGTGAGTAGATGGTTCAAATTAACTATTTGAACCATCTACTCACTGTCTTTCCCACCTCCCCTTCTTTTTCATCTCTTTTTCCTCCTCCTTCCCCTTCCCTTATTTATTTTTGGTTCTGGACTTTTAACACTCCTATCATCTGAAGAAGTGGGTTGTGCCATGAAAGTTCACGATACCATCTACATGTTTGTTAGTGTTTAAGGTGCTACTAGACTATTTGTTGTTTTTTAAGTTTTTCCTGTTACAGACTAACTCGGCTATCCCTCTGAAGCTTTCAAACAAAGTAAGTTAGCCTGAACCAGTTCTTTATGCAATTTTGCAAGCAAGGAAAGTTTACTCACCTTGTGCAGTAGCTAAGGTTCTTCTCCCTGTGGGTACTCCACTTCATGTGTGGGTGGGTCCCAGTACTGCTTGGAGATTTATGGTAGTAGTGGCTGCGCAGGTCAAGCATGCACTGTAGGAGTCTTGTGATGTTTTTGTCGACGCACATAGTGTGCGCACAACCCAAGCCCTCCAGTTCCTTCTCTACAATAGAGCCACTACTGTGAACCCCGAAGCAGAGGGGAAGAGAGTGAGTAGTGGAGCACCCACAGGAACACACATCTCGAAGAGCCAAGGCAAGTAACCATCTTTCTTCAAGTGCTGTTCCTGTGGGTGCTCCACTTCAATGACTGTAGAGTCATGCCCCTCAGAGGGAGGGATAGTGGGAGGACTTGAGGTTTATTGGAGTCGTTGTGGTAAGTACTTTGAGACCCACAATGGCGTCAGCCTTGGAGTCATGAATGATTCCCTGAAGTCCTGTGTCCAGCTCTGCCCCCCAGGTTGGCTCCAGCCCTGCCCGGCCCCACCTCCCCTGCCTCTCTCACATACAACACTCCTGGCCCTGGCTGGTCCCATCCCCGTGGAAGACCAAGCAGCACAGACAAGGAGGTATTGCTCTACACAGCTCTGAGCTCTCTGCAAGGAGAGAAGGGGAAGCTAGGTGGAGTTAACATCCTCAGCTGGCCAGCTGAAGTGTGTGGGCAGATAGGAAGCGACGGGGAGACACTTGCTGGCCCAGCTCAAGGAAGGGATTGGAAAGGAGTCTGCACCTCAACAAGAGAGGGAAAGCCCAAGCCCTTTGCAGTACCCCCCTGCCTTTGGCACTTTCAGTCTGGGCTCAGTTTGCCCGTCCCTACTTAAAGCAGTAATTCTAGCACTATTGGTACTGATACTATAAAGGCTATTAAATGTCTTCCTTGACACCATGTGGAGCACCTCTTCCATTTTTGAAGGAAAGAATTATGCATGGTCATCTTCATGCTGTTAATAGCATGTTTAACTTGTTGTCATCTGGTTAGTTTGTCATGGTGAAACCATGTAAGAGCCAAACTTGTAAATGGAGTTTCTCTGAGTCCTGGTGAAGAGTTTGAGCATTGTGCTGAGAAAGCAGGTCCAGACAACAAGGGAAAGCCTGTGGGGTACATCCAGTAAGGGTAACACGCTTGTCTGGGCCATGTTGGAACTATGAGGATAACTTTGGCCCTGTGTGTTCATATCTTCTGTATCATGCATGGTATTGATGGAATAAGAGGAAACGCATAGAAGTTGTGCCTTATTTAGGGGTGTTAAATTTAGTTTAATCAAGTAATCGACTAGTCAATAAGCACGGGAGCTGCACTGGTATTAGTTCCTAGCCCATCAGCTAACTCTGCTGTGGCTCAGCCTTTTAAATATATTAAGAGCTGGCAAGACTGATGCACAGCGCTGGGGACTCGGCGCAAGCCAAGACAGCTGATTGCCGGCTTGCGCCAGTTCCCCCGCTACATTTTTGCTTTTTAAATTGGAGTGCCGGTTTTGGGGAGCCAAGGCAGACTCCATTAACATCACTTTTAAGCAAATACACCTGTCTTTAGTTCTAGGGCAGATCCGACAGAGTCTCACATCATTGAGAGGAAAGACAACAAAAGCAGTTCACATGGAGATCACTAACTGGCATGGACCTGCAGCAGTTAGCATATGATTTAAAGCCATGGGAGCAGGGCATGTCCTGTCCCCAGGCTAGTTCCTAAAGCGGACTATCTACTTGTACAGCTAACAAACAGAAGGAAACTATTTACATTTGAAAGAAAAACTATTCACACCAGCAGAACAATGTCCCGAATGGCAAAGAGGATCTGAGGGAGGGAGCTCCACTTGTGGTGGGTGGGGCGGTGCTGGAGCTGGTCTACCTACTTTGAATGGACATAAACAACACTCAAGAAGAAGAACTGGAAGGCTCACTTGCTATGTGTGGCATCAAAAGCACCACAAGATGCCTCTGTCTTCTGCCAAGGATAGCTAAGAAAGAACTGGAAAACTCAGGCTGTGCACATACTACATATGCATCAGTGGCACCACAAGACACCTACTGCACATGCACAAACCACAGAGATGCTGCTATCGTAAATCTCCAATCAACCTGAAATGGAGCACCCACAGGGACAGCATTTAAAGAAGACAAGTTAGTTCTCAATATAAATAAGGCTAAAGTCTCTGGTTGTATTACATTAGGCCAAGGGGAATTCTGCAATTGTTGCATTTGGAGTCATAGAAAATTGCAGAATTCCCCCATGACCGAGGTCACTGTCTGCATTCTTAAAACACAGAATTCATATTTGTAGTGTTAAAAAAATAATATACTTTTGATTTAAATAAGCAAAACACTTTTTATGAGTTCACGTAAAATACTATAATGGAAAAAAATCCTTCAATGTGGATTACTATTAACGTTCTTATCCACATTTCACTTAAATGTAAAATAAAATGAAATCTTAGACAATTAAGCTGTTACTTGACTGATGAAGAAAAACCCTCAAGTACCTTAGCAACACCAAATTTTAATCTACTAGTAGCCTATGTTCTGCAAAGAAATAATAAAATATGTTTAAAAGATTAAATATACTCTGATCATTAAAATTACTTTCTGGTGTAAGACTTACGTTTATGCTTTCAGTAATTTCCAAAGTAACCAAGTTTAATGGACAACTCAGAGTAAAACCTGGCTCAAAAGGTTGCAAAGTAAATATGAGTTTACATTAAGGGCCTCTAACAATACATGCACTGCACAGCACAGCATGACCCCTTTACACTGTGTTCCCTACCTAACCAAAGGCTTCTTCGATTATTGCCAGCAGAACACAATTACACAGTGAGTGGCTGTTACTGTTATAATAAATAGATCAATACAACAGTGAACTTATTGTTAATGGAAGGTGAATTATACCTTCATTAGATTCTGGAATGATTTCTGAAGAACTCTCCTTTTGAAAAACTGCCTCTGGTTGTGATGATGCCCATTCTGTGCCACTCACCTGCAACAGGAAAGGGAAGTTACTAAATAAAAACGTACACAATATAAAATTCATTCAGTAAAATACAATTAGCATCTGCACTGACTAAGGCAGGCAGTGACTGATCTTGGCATTTTGGGGTAACTGTTGGATTGGATTTCTACCATTTACGTTTAAAAATTGTCTCAATTAGTAATGATCTTTTCCTTGTTAAATGGGTACAACCATATGATACTGGGAAAGCAACTTAAACATAGTGTCTCAGTTCTCCGTCCATAAAATGTCATTATACTTCTCTAGATCTAGATCAATATACTTCTCTGAGATTTAGCATGTCAATGAAGCCTTACTAATACCATAATAATTTAAAGTACAGGAAGTCCCCGAGTTACGTGGATCCAACTTATGTCGGATCCCTACATACGAACGGGGCTTTTATCGCCACAGAGGACGCGTCCTCCGCGTCTTTGCTCCGCGTCTCCCTAGTCTGCTGGGGGCCCCCCCCAGCAGACCAGGGAGACGCGGAGCAAAGCGGCAGAGGACCTGGGTGGTGGGACCGCGGTGCGTCTGGGCGGTCCCGCTGCCCACGTCCTCCGGGGGGAGAAAAGCCCCGTTTGTAA